CATCTTCATAGCAACCATGATGGTCTGAGCCAAAACCGTCTGTTGTTGGACTATTGTAATACTCTCCTAAATGGTCCTAATTTTCCTCCCTACATTCATACTCATCTTCTTCAATTTAATTTCTGCCTAGGAGCTAGAGTGTTTTTAAAAACCATGTATCTTGAATATCTCTCCTTGTTTAACTACAATTGGTCCTTCATATTCATGGACTGTGAAAGCACAGATTCAACCAACCAAGGATAGAAAATATTTGAAAAAAAGAATAATTAAAGACAACAACATAACAATAAAAACAATACAAATAAAAACCAATACAGTATAATAACTATATAGCATTTACATTGTGTTAGGTATTATAAGTAATCTGAAGATGATTTAAAGCATCATCTCTTTACAGGAGGATATTCATAGGTTAAATGCAAATACTATGCCCTTTTATATAAGGGGTTTGAGCATCTGAGGGCGAAGAGTGGCGTCCTAGAACCAATCCCCTGAGGATACTGAGGAATGACCGTACTTCAAATGATTTCTATTATACCTATCATAAAGTGGTAAAATCATAAATCCCCAGTATGGCCAACTCTTTCAAAAGGCCCCGCTTAACCTGACTGCCACCTACCTTCCTAAAGTCATTTGGTACAGCTGTCTCCCCTACTCACAACTGTAGCCACACTGCCCTTCTTTAAATTCCTTTATGTAACGAATCTTTACCCACCTCAGGACCTTCACCCATGTTATTTCTTCTGCCTTAAAACTCTCTTGCTACTCATTATTTAGGAGTTGGCTTATTACTTTCTCAGAGGCCCTTCCTAAACTCCGTCCTAAATTAGTGAGTCCTTCATCTCTCTAAACACAATTTATATTCATTTATATAATAATTTGTGTAATAAATCAATCCCTACTAATCTTTAAATTAAAAAAGGTCAGAAATCACATCTACTTTAAGAAATGTTTTACGTAATACAAGCCTCGCACATAGCAAAATACTTACTTTGAACAAATGAGTGGGATAATGTATTTGGACACATTTTGCAGAGTACCTGCCACATAGACATTACTCAAATTTCTTTTCCTTTTTTATTTTAAAGATTACATTAGATACTGATCTTTTACTTAATAGAATGTTGTTAGTTTTTTTTAAGTATGTATTTTACATCTTTTGAATGACTACGATAATTCCACTAGATGTCAGACTAACCTAAAAAATTAATTGTTATAAAATGTAAGTACTGTATGATTCCAGTGTTTAGTTGACTGGTTAGATGATTCTCATATTGTTAATTTGATGAAGAGAGTTAATGTTTTTGTAGATGCCTTTGACATTGGAGATTGTGCATGCTCTATGATTGTATATTGAGTACCAAGAATATAATTCTCTTGTGCTATAGAAGGTTATAGATATTTTGAGTTTCTTATAAAAGATTTGCACTGTCCCAATAGCAAAAGACTTATAAAATAGAATACAAACTAATAACTGCAAATATTTATTAAACACCAACTATATATCAGATCCTTTGCTAAATGCTTTTTATGTTTTATCTCATTTAATCTCCATTAGTAAGTTATGACAGTAAGTAATAGTATCTCCATTAATAAAACAGTCTTGTGAGATAAGTAGTATTATTAACCTCATTTTGAGAACTATGGTTAAAAAAAAAGTTAAATTGCCTCTTTTTTTTTTTTGTGAGACGGTTTTGCTCTTGTCACTGGAGTGCAATGGCATGATATCGGCTCACTGCATCCTCTGCTCCCGGGTTCAAGCAATTCTCTTGCCTCAGTCTCCCGAGTAGCTGGGATTAGAGGCATGTGCCACTGTGCCCGGGTCATTTTGTATTTTTAGTAGAGACAGGGTTTCTCCACGTTAGTCAGGCTGGTCTCAAACTCCCGACCTCAAGTCATCTGCCCCGCTTGGCCTCCCAAAGTGCTGGGATTACAGGAGTGAGCCATTGCCCCCGGCCCTAAATAGGTGATCCTAAAAGCTCTAAAAGAGATAGTATACTGTATCAAAATTATTTCTAAAAACACTTTAAATAAAAATAACTCCCTATTTTTAAAAAATGAAGATGTTTTAATAACAATAGCCTTGTCAACATTCATGCCATTTGGAACTTGGTATTTCGTTTATCAGATAAACTTGTTAATTAGAGATTAGGATGGTAGTGGAAAGAGCATACGATTTGGAATTAGATCTTGGTTTGCATCTCAGCATCACCGTTTACTAGCTTTAGTCTGAACTTGGGCAAGGTACTTCACATCTCTGAGCCTCAGGTCCCAGTTAATTGGGGGATAAAATACAATGTCAACCTTGCTATGCTGAAGTAAAAATTAAATAAAAAATATACAGAAAATGCCACTACACTGACTGGCATGTGACAAGTTATAGTTCAATATATCTTGCTTTAAAAAGCATTTTGTTAAAAATGTCTAAATCTAAGAGCAAAAGATATTAATTTTGTAAGTACTATGGGTTACAAACCTCCCATATTTTGGTTATGGTAGATGAATATACAAAAGAGTAATGTCAAATTCATACTTGAATGGCTTAAAATTTATGTATGGATGGTTTATAAAGACTACGTGTTTAATTCTCAAAATTAATGAGAACATTTCCATTGAAGAGTTAAGAATTAAGATAATATATCTTGCACTTAATCAACATTTTTAAAGTAACTGGTGCTTTGATATGATAGTAAAGGAGGTTGAGAGAGAGAATAGATTCACTCTTCCCTTCCATGTTTATTACTTGTTATCATTTATTAATACTAACACATTACTTCTTGCCTAGACTCCTTTAATAGCCTCAAAAATGATCTCTCCATTTTACTTTCCTTTCACAAGTTTTCAAAATGAACAGTCCTAAAAGTACAGCTCAAATCATATTATAATTTGCTCAAGCATCTGCTTCCTAAAGTAAATATACACTACTCTTGCTAGAGTCCTATCATAGATTATTTCCCCCATTTTTACTATACAATATTCAGAACTGCATTGAGATACGTGGGCACAATAGCTAGTGTCCCTAATTCAAGTTTAGATTTTGAAAATATTTGTGCATTTATTTAGTGGGGCTGAATTGAAATATATTTTTCTTTTAAACTTTATGACATTTAAAATAACCCAGAAAATAGAAAGAAGAGTGTAAGAATAGTGTAACAAAAACTTATATTCTTCTCATATAGAAATAACAATTTTTAAAATCATAACTTGGTTTTTTTAAGGGCTAAAATGTGATTGTTTAAACTTCAGATCTAGGTAACTAAACCAACACTCCCAGTCTCATTTACCTTTCTGCCCTCCACTCAAAGCTTCCTCTAGGAAGAGTTTAATGTATTTACTGCCCAAACAGTTTTTAAAAATATATATATTTTCTAGCATTTTAGGTTTAGGGGTACATGTGAAGAACATGCAATATTGTTGCATAGGTACATACATGGCAATGTGGTTTGCTGCCTTCCTCCCCATCACCTATATCTGGCATTTCTCCCCATGTTATCTCTCCCCAACTCCCCACACTCTGCTGTCCCTCCTCTAGTTCCCCCCATTTAAAGCAGTGTCTAGAGGAAAATATATAGCAATAAATGCCCACATGAGAAGCAAGGAAAGATCTAAAATTGACACCCTATAATCAAAATTGAAAGAGGTAGAGGAGCAAGATTAAAAAAACTCAAAAGCTAGCAGAAGACAAGAATTAACTAAGATCAGAGCAGAACTGAAGGAGATAGAGACACAAAAAACTCTTCAAAACATCAATAAATCCAGGAGATGGGTTTTTGAAAAGATCAACAAAATAGACCACTAGCCAGATTAATAAAAAAGAAAAGAGAATAGTCGAATAGATGCAATAAGAAAACGATAAAGGGGATATCACCACAGATTCCTCAGAAATAGAAACCACCATCAATTACTACAAACAACTCTATGCACATAAACCAGTAAACCTGGAAGAAATGGATAAATTCCTGGACATTTGCATCCTCTCAAGCCTCAACCAGGAAGAAGTTGAAACCCTGAATAGACCAATAACAAGGGCTGAAGTTGAGGCAGCAATTAATAGCTTACCAACCACAAAAACCCCAGTCCAGATAAGTTCACAGCCAAATTCTACCAGGCATACAAAGAGGAGCTGGTATCACTCCTTTTAAAACTATTCCAAACAAGCCAAAAAGAGGGAATCCTTCCCAAATCATTTTATGAGACCAACATCATCCTGATACCAAAACCTGGCAGAGACTCAACAAGAAAAGAAAACTTCAGGCCAATATCTATGATGAACATAGATGCAAAAATCTTCAATAAAAATACTGGTAAACCAATTGCAAAAGCACATCAAAAAGCTTATCCATCACAATCAAGTAGGCTTCATTCCGGGGATGCAAGGCTGGTTCAACATATGCAAGTCTATAAACGTAATTCACCACATACACAGAACCAAAGACATAAACCACATGATTATCTCAGTAGATAAAGAGAAGCCCTTTGACAAAATTCAACAGCCCTTTATGCTAAAAACTCTCAATAAACTAGGTATCGAAGGAATGTATCTCAAAATGATAAAAGCTATTTATGACAAACCCACAGCCAATTTCATACTGAATGGGCAAAAACTAGAAGCATTCCCTTTGAAATCTGGCACTAGACAAGGATGCCTTCTCTCACCACTCTTCTTCAATATAGTATTGGAAGTTCTAGTCAGAGCAATTAGGCAAGAAAAAGAAATAAAGCATATTCAATTAGCAGAGGAGGAAGCCAAACAGTTTTAAAAATACTTTTACTTATTTATATTTACAGATGAATACAGTATATCTTACACTATAAATTATGTACATGATAGCATATTGTACTTACCATTTTGTGATTTTTTACACTGTATTATATATTTGAAATCTGTTTTATATAGATTAGATAGAATTCATTTCTTTTAGTTGTTTTATAGAACTCCATCACATGAATATGCAACATTTTATTTTTATTATTTGTTTATTTTTTATTTTTTCACGTTAGATCCTGTGGCCTTTATTCATGCCCCCTTGACCAAATGCAGAGATGAGGCCCTTAACCGAGAACAACTCCAGGGGCCTGGGACTCTTGGGTCCCCTACCGCAGACACTTTGCTGTGAGCCAGAAGTGTATAAAGTGCTGGTATGTGACCATCCTTTGGGGAAGATTAAAGGGGGCACGCGCCCCAGGGACCCTGAGGAAGGGCAACGCCCGGCTCCCAGAGCATTGGGAGGGAGGGCTCGCGCCACCACCTTGGGGCTGGGAAACTTCAATGCAGTCCTGGGCAGGAGGGAACTGAGAAGGGAGCCGTCAGCACGGAGCCTTCAGGAGGCTGGGGTTGTAGGGTGATAATTTCTGTACCCCTGTGGAGGGAGGGGGCATGTAGAAGAGGCCTTGGGGATCTCAGAGAATGGGACAGCCCCTCTGGCGCTTCTTCTTGCGGACCTGGAGGCCAGCCCGAGTGGCCATCTCAAACACCTCCCGCACTCCCTCCTTGGTCTTGGCTGAGCACTCAAGGTAGCCAAAGGCACTGATCCGGTTCGCCGTGACTCGGCCTTCCTCAGACCGAACAGGCTCCTGCTTCATCTTGGCCAGCTCTCTCCTGGTGTGCTCATCTTGCTTCAAGTCCTTCTTATTCCCCACTAGGATGATGGGCACGTTGGGGCAGAAGTGCTTCACCTCTGGCGTCCACTTCTCAGGAATGTTTTCCAGGCTGTCGGGGCTGTTGATGGAGAAGCACATGAGGATGACATCAGTGTCGGGGTAGGAGAGAGGCCGCTGTCGATCATAGTCATCCTGTCCTGCTGTATCCCACAGAGCCAGCTCCACCTGTTTGCAGTCCACTTCAACGTCCGCAATATAGTTCTCAAAGACAGTAGGCACGTAGACTTCTAGAAACTGATCCTTGCTAAAGATGATGAGGAGGCAGGCACCATCCCCAACGATTACCAGCTTCTTTCGGATTGCAGCCATGGTAGGGCTTCAGCTGCGCCACCTCCAGCTGCGCGGCCGGTGCCGGAGGCTCGGACTGACCCCGCAACATTTTATTTGTACATTTCCTTATTGCTGGATGCTTAGATTTTTCTAGTCTTCACTCTTAAAAACATGTTATAGTGAATGTCTTTCTTCACATATCCTGAAACACAAATACGTAGGGATATATCTGTAAGTAGTGTGTATATTTTTAACTTTACCAAATCCAACCAAATTGTCTCCAAGAGAAAGTCCCTATTTCCTCTCATTTTCACCAAAGGTTGATTGACATTATTATTGGGTGGAAATGCTATCTACTTATACTTTTAAAAGAAAACCTACATTTCTAATTATCTTCAAGACTGAAACTCATTTCTTTTAGAAAATTGGCCTTTTAATTTCCCTTCTCTCTGAAATCAACTGTCTGCTTTGCCAATTTATTTGTTGAGTTACTAATATTTTTATTTCACTTTTTTTGGTACCATATGAAGTTTAGAAAAGTTTTTTTCACTTCTGTGAAAGATGATGTTGGTAACTTGATAGCAATAGCATTCAGTCTGTAGGTTGCTTGGGGAAATATGGCCATTTTAGCAATATTGATTCTTCCAATCCATGAGCATGAAATTGTTTTCCATTTGTTTGTGTCATCTATGAGTTCTTTCAGCAGTGTTTTGTAGTTCTATTTGTGGAGCTCTTTCACGTATTCGCTTAGATGTATTCCTAGGTATTTTACTTTTTTTGTGGCTATTGTAAATGGGATTGCAATCTTTACTTGACTCTCAGCTTAAATGTTATTGGTGTATAGACATGTTACTGATTTTTGTATGTAGATTTTGTATCCTGAGACTTTGCTGAAGTTGTTTATCAGGTCTAGGAGTCCTTTGGCAGAATCTCTAGAGTTTTCTAGGTATACAATTACATTGTCAGTGAAGAGAGATAATTTAACTTCCTCTTTTCTTATTTGGATGCTTTTTATTTCTTTCTCTTGCCTGAATGCTCTAGCTTCGACTTCCAGTATTATGTTGAATAGGAGTGATGAGAGTGGACATCTTGTCTTTTTCCAGTTCTTAAGGGGAAAGGCTTCCAACTTTTGCCCATTTAATGTTTTTGGCTGTGGTTTTGTTGTAGACAGCTCTTATTATTGTGAGGTATGTTTCTTCAATGCCCAGCTTGTTGAGGATTTGTATCATGAAGGGAAGTTAGATGTTATTAAATGCACTTTCTGCGTTTGTTAAGATGATCATATCTGGATTTTGTTTTTAATCCTGTTTATGTGGTGAATCACATTTACTCCTTTTCATAAATTAAAAATCCTTGCATTCCAAGAATAAAGTCCACTTAATCACCGCAAATTAACTTTTTGATGTGCTATATCTATTTTTCCATTGAGATTTCCTGCTTTTTTCCTTGGTAATTTGCAGGTGTTCCTTCTACCTATTAAATTTTAATTCCTTAGTAGGCTTTAAATATTGCAATATCTTCTCTAGTCTGTCATTAATTTGCTTGTGGTGTCCTTTGTAAGCAGAAATTCTTAATTTTGATATAAACTCATCATTTTTGGGGAGTTTAGTATTTTGTGCTTTTAGGTCCTTCTTAAGAAGTCCTTCTAGCTCTAAGCTTACTCTTATGTTTTCCTTCATTTTCTATTATTAGCTTTTAAAAATTGCCTTTTAAGTTGAACATGTTATTCCAAATAGAATTCATGTGTGTATATTGCATGACTTACTTTGCTATAGCGATATATTGAGCTAGTTTTCCTAATGCTCTCTGGAAATTAGTTTAGCTTTTCTCTATTGATTTATAGTGCTACATTTATTAGGTATTATTTTTTCTTTCTGAATTTTTATTCTATTCCATTATGTTGTTTCTATATAATTACATTCTATAGGTATTACTATAGCTTTCTAGATTGCATTAGTACTTTGGAAGGAAATTCCTCTATTTTACTAACCTTTTTCAAAATCAAATTAGATTTTCATGAACCTTTATTTTGTATAATTTACAAGATATGGTTGAAAAATGTCATAGATTCACTCTACTGACTGTTTCTTTTGCCGTGCAGAAGCTGTGGAGTTTGATTACATCCCATTTGTCTATTTTGGCTTTTGTTGCCATTGCTTTTGGCGTTTTGGTCATGAAGTCCTTGCCTACGCCTATGTCCTGAATGGTTTTGCCTAGATTTTCATCTAGGGTTTTTATGGTGTTAGGTCTGATGTTTAAGTCTTTAATCCATCTGGAGTTAATTTTGGTGTAAGGTGTCAGGTAGGGGTCCTGTTTCTGCTTTCTCCACGTGGCTAGCCAGTTTTGCCAACACCATTTATTAAACAGGGAATCCTTTCCCCATTGCTTGTTTTTGTCAGGTTTGTCAAAGATCAGATGGTTGTGGGTATGTTGTATTTCCTCTGAGGCCTCTGTTCTGTTCCATTGGTCTATATCTCTGTTTTGGTACCAGTACCATACTGTTTTGATTACTGTAGCCTTGTAGTATAGTTTGAAGTCCAGTAGTGTGATGCCTCCTGCTTTGTTCTTTTTGCTTAGAATTGACTTGGCTATGTGGGCTCTCTTTTGGTTCCATGTGAAGTTTAAGGTGTTTTTTTCCAGTTCTGTGAAGAAGGTCATTGGTAGCTTGATGGGAATAGCATTGAATTTGTAAATTACTTTGGGCAGTATGGCCATTTTCACGATGTTGATTCTTCCTAACCACGAACATGGAATGTTTCTCCATCTGTTTGTGTCCTCTCTTATTTCGTTGAGCAGTGGCTTGTAGTTCTCCTTGAAGAGGTCTTTTACGTTCCTTGTTAGTTGTATTCCTAGGTATTTTATTCTCTTTGTAGCAATTGTGAATGGCAGTTCCTTCTTGATTTGGCTCTCTTTAAGTCTATTACTGGTGTATAGGAATGCTTGTGATTTTTGCACGTTGATTTTGTATCCTGAGACTTTGCTTAAGTTGTCTATCAGTTTCAGGAGATTTTGGGATGAGATGATGGGGTCTTCTATATATATAATGATGTCATCTGCAAATAGAGACAATTTGATTAAATTTTTGCAGTCTACCCATCTGACAAGGGGCTGATATCCAGAATTTACAAAGAACTAAAACAGATCTACAAGAAAAAAACAAACAAGCCCATTCAAAAATGAGCAAAGGATATGAACAGATACTTTACAAAAGAGGACATACAGAAGGCCAACAAACATATGAAAAAATGCTCATCATCATTGGTTATTAGAGAAATGCAAATCAAAACCACATTTAGAAGCCATCTCACACCAGTTAGAATGGCGATCATTAAAAAATCTGGAAACAACAGATGCTGGAGAGGATGTGGAGAAACAGGAACACTTTTACACTGTTGGTGGGAATGTAAATTAATTCAGCCATTGTGGAAGACAGTTTGGCGATTCCTCAAGGACCTAAAAATAGAAATCCCATTTGACCCAGCAGTCCCATTACTGGGTATATATCCAAAGGATTATAAATCATTCTACTATAAGGACACATGCACACAAATGTTCATTGCAGCACTGTTTACAATAGCAAAGACCTGGAACCAACCCAAATGCCCCACAATGATAGACTGGATAGAGAAAATGTGGTACATATACACCATGGAATATTACGCAGCCATCAAAAACGATGAGTTCACGTCCTTTGTAGGGACATGGATGAACCTGGAAACCATCATTCTCAGCAAACTGACACAAGAGCAGAAAATCAAACACCACATGTTCTCACTCATAGGCGGGTGTTGAACAATGAGAACACATGGACACAGGGAGGGGAGCACTACACACTGGGGTCCGTTGGGGATAAATGGGGGAGGGACGAGGGTGGGGAGGTGGGAAGAGATAGCATGGGGAGAAATGACAGATACAGGTGAGGGGACAGAAGGCAGCAAACCACACTGCCATGTGTGTACCTATGCAACAATCTTGCATGTTCTTCACATGTACCCCAAAACCTAAAATGCAATAAAAAAAAGAAAAAGAAAAATGTCATAGAAATTTTTATTGAAATCTGAATTCATTACCTATTGCTGCATAAGTAATTACCCTATACCTTAATGGTTTAAAACATCAACAAATTTTTTTTGTCTCTCAGCTTCTGTAAGTCAGGAATTCAGAAGCACAATATCTGTGTAGCTCTGAGTTGGGATCACTCAGGAGGTTGCAATCAATATGTTACCTGTGTCTATAGTCTTCTGATGGCTTGACGGGGGCTAGAAAATCTTTCTCCAAGATGATTCACTCACAAGGATGGCAAGCTGACACTGGCAGTTGGCAGAATTAGTTCCTTGCCATAGAAACTGCTTGGTACAGCTTCTTGAGTGTCTTCACAGCATGGAAGCTGACGTCCACTACAGCAAGTGACCTAGGAGATAGCAAGGTGGAGGCTGTGATGTCATTTGTCATTTATGACCTAGCACTGAAAGTTACTCTCCAACTTTCCTGCAATATCCTATCGACTGCACAAGTCAGTTCTCCTCAGTGTGGAAAGAACTACACAGGGAGCAAGTATCGTTGGGGGCCATCTTGGAACTTGGCTACCTAAGTCCACCCTCTGGCTGCCAATAATCAATGTCCCGCCCACATGCAAAATTTACTCATTCTCTTGACCAGGTTCTCTAAAGTCTCATTCCACAATGGCATTAGCTTGAAGTCCAAAATCTCATCTAAATTAGGCCTGGGGGCAGATGAAGCTCCTTTGATATAGTTCCTTAAGTACAGTTTCTTTTGATCTGAAGACTAATGCACTTAAGAGAAGGGAATACACAATGGCATATGTACCAGGAGGCAAAAATCATTGGAGGCCGTAACTTCATTAAGATTTCTTGCAAGACAAATTCCTCAGTTTTGTTTGAGAAACTCCTTATTTCTCTTTCACTTTTGAAGAATAATTTTGCTAGGTACAGACTTCTACATCAGTGGGTGCTGGGGATGGTGTCTCATGCTTGTAATCCTATCACCTTGGGAGGCCACAGAGGGAGGATCACCTGAGGTCAGGAGTTCAAGACCAGCCTGGTTAACATGGTGAAATTTCATCTTTACTAAAAATACCAAAATTAGCCAGATGTGGTGGTGGGTGCCTGTCAACCCAGCTACTTTGGAGGCTGAGGCAGGAGAATTGCCTGAATCCGGGAGACAGAGGTTGCAGTGAGCCAAGATTGACAGAG